ATTAGCGTGTGTGTAATAGCTAGTTAAGCTAAGGGAACGCTTGTGTGTGTCTTCTGTCATTTTCGTTTTCCAAAAGAGCTGTAAACTGCTATATGAGTAAAATAGCTCTGACCTCTGGAACACAGCGGTTCTAGCGTGTTCCTCCTTTGTTCTTCGTGTTCTTAGGTAGCCACCGAGAAATCTGGTGCTTGTGATCCATTCCTACTTCTACACGTGGTATCGGAGCTGAATCACAACCCAGAAGTGTTGCGTGCGTTGAGTTGATCATTCCGTGATGAGTGATCGGAGTTCTGGAGGCGATGACGGCGGAAGTCGTGGCGATCATGGGCGGTACAACTACCCTCCATTGACGGCCACGAACTACACAAGCTGGAGCATTCGAGTCCAGGCGATCATGGAGGATCAAGGCGTCTAGGAGGTGGTAGAACCACCCGAGGGGACGTCGACGGCGCAGACGGCAGATCAGAGCAGCAAAGACAAGAAGGTGCGGGCGCATCTATTGCAGTGCTTGCCGGATGATCTGCTGATGCAGGTGGCGAAGAAGAAGACGGGCAAAGAGGTTTGGGATTGCTTGAAGTCAAGATTCGTGGGTGCGGAGCGTGTCAGGGATGCACGGCTCCAAACGCTCAAGAGCGAGTTCGACGCTCTGAAGATGGGGGAAGATGAGGCGCTCAATGATTATGCTGGTAAGTTGACTGGCATGTCAGTCAAATTCAGCAATTTGGGCGGCACGTTGGAGGATATGGCGATGGTGAAGAAGCTTTTCGACACTGTCCCGGAGAAATTCATCAATGTTGTTGCCGGCATAGAGCAATTCTATGATCTCAAGGCAGTGCGATTCGAAGAAGCAGTGGGGCGTTTGAAGACCTTCGAAGAGAGAACTCGGCGGGGAGCAGGGAGTTCGAAGACTAAAGGTGGGCAGTTACTCCTCACTCAGTCAGAGTGGGAGGAGAGGTAGAGGAAGGCCACCGGTGATTCGTCGGGTAGAAGCAGATCATCGGAGGGCAGCCGAGGCAGAGGCCGGGACGAGGCAAAGGCCAAGGAGGGCGTGGACAAGGTCGAGGCAGGGAGAATGCTGGGAGTGGCAAGAGGGATAAAAGTCACATTCAGTGTTTCAAGTGTAAGCAATACGGTCATTATGCCAACCGGTGTCCTGGAGAGAAGAAAGATGAGGAGGTGCATCACGCTCGGGCGGAGATAGAGCCAGCGTTGATGCTTGCAGTAGTAGAGGAGCAGGTGGAGCTGCATCTGACCGGAGGCGGGGAGCTCTCCGGCAGCACCTGGTACCTAGACTACGGGGCCAGTAATCATATGACTGGAGATCGAAAGAAATTCCTGGAGCTAGATGGAGGGGTGACCGGGAGGGTGAGATTCGGAGATGGCTCTGGTGTGCAGATAGAAGGGAAGGGATCTATTCTCTTCAGATGCCGAGATGGGAGTCAGTGGTTGCTCTGAGACGTCTACTACATCCCCAAGCTCAGGAGTAATCTGGTGAGTCTCGGACAACTCACGGAGAGTGGGTACATGGTGGTCATGGATGATGGCGTGTTGGAGGTGTTCGACAAAAATCCTCAAAGGCTACTGATGAAGGTTCAGAGATCCCTGAACAGGCTGTACAAGGTGGACTTGAAGCCTGTAGCGCCAGAGTGCTTGATGGGGAACATTGAGGAGCCGGCATGGCTCTGGCATGGTCGACTTGGCCATGTCAACTTTGGTGCACTGAAGATGGTGGGGGAGAAGGAGTTGGCTGGTGGAGTGCCACGGATTAGCTATCCTGAACAGCTGTGTCATCCATGTTTGGCAGGGAAGCAGACGCGCGATCCATTCCAAAAGGCGTCAAGTTTCAGAGCCAAGAAGCCACTGGAACTCGTCCATGTTGATCTCTGTGGACCAATCACCCCCTCGACAGCTGTTGGTAACAAATATTTCATACTGTTTGTTGATGATTACTCTAGATGGATGGTAATGTATATGCTAAAATCAAAAGATCAAGCCACTGCTGCACTTAGTATGTTCAAGGCAGAAGCAGAGAACTCAGTGGGGGAGAAAATCGAGGTTCTGCATTCAGACCGTGGGGGGGAGTTTCTGTCAGGTGTTTTTGCAGGGATATGTGAAACAGCTGGGATCAGAAGGCAACTCATAGCTCCATATACACCACAACAAAATAGTGTAGTGGAGAGAAGAAACAGAACTGTAGTTGAGATGGCTAGGACCATGATGAAGAGTATGAATGTACCAGGGAAATACTGGGGAGAGGCAGTGAGACATGCTGTCTACTTGCTTAACAGATTGCCTACCAAAGCATTGCAGGAGAAGACACCATATGAGTGTTGGGTTGGTAGGAGGCCACACTTGGGCCATCTGAAAGTTTTTGGGTGTTTAGCTCACATGAAGATCACAACACCACACTTGAAGAAGCTAGATGACAGGAGTCAGAAGGTAGTTTATCTTGGTGTGGAGGAGGGCTCTAAGGCACATAGACTACTTGACCCTCTGAAAAACAAAATTCATGTTAGTAGAGATGTTAAGTTTGAAGAGGGTGTGAGATGGAGTTGGGGTGATAAGAATGTGAGAGTGGAAGAGTTTCAGGTGGAAGGGGAGTTTGTGGAATCTGTTACTGATTGGTTTGATCAGAATGGCGCAGGGGTGTTACCTACACAAACAGCTGCTGATGCTAGTGGAGAACAGACAGTGTCAGCACAAGAAGAAAATACAGTCAAGGTGTTGGAGAAAATTCAGAACCAGATGGGTCTGTTGGAGTGGAGAATTCTACAGGAGTGGAGAACTCTGGTGCAGTGGAGAACTCAGATTCAGCTCAAGGTTCTGGGTGGGTGCAGGATGTGCCAGAAGCATCAGACTACAGTTCAGATGATGAACCCCAAAGATTCAGAGCTATTGGGGATATCTATGAAGAAACCAGTGAGATTGAATTGTTGTCAGATCAAGATGGTGAAGCACTTCTTACAGAGACAGAAGAGCCAACTAGTTTTGGGGAAGCAGCTGGTGATCCACAGTGGGTGGAGGCAATGGACAAGGAAATTCAGTCCATAGAGAAGAATGGGACATGGAAATTGTCCAAACTTCCTGTTGGGCACAAGGCAATTGGGCTCAAGTGGGTATTCAAGTTGAAGAAAAATGCTGAAGGAGAAGTTGTAAAGCACAAAGCAAGGCTAGTGGCCAAGGGATATGTGCAGAAGCATGGTGTGGACTATGAAGAAGTGTTTGCACCTGTTGCCAGATTAGACACAGTAAAGTTCATTTTGGCTATGGCTGCAAACAGGGGCTAGGAGGTCCATCACCTTGATGTAAAATCAGCATTTCTTCATGGTGAATTGTAGGAAGAAGTTTATGTGCAGCAGCCTGAGGGATATGTAGTGAAGGGAAAGGAGCATTGTGTTCTCAGGTTGAGCAAGGCACTTTATGGTCTGAAGCAGGCTCCAAGAGCCTAGAATATGAGACTAGATAGATCTCTGAAGAAACTTGGTTTTACAAGGTGCATCAGTGAACAAGCAGTTTATACTAGGGGTACTGGTAAGACCAATTTGATATTGGGAGTGTATGTTGATGATCTGATAGTTACTGGAGAGGAACCAAGTGAAATCAGAAAGTTCAAACAGCAGATGACAACAGAGTTTGAAATGAGTGATCTAGGTCTCTTGTCCTTCTATCTTGGAATAGAGGTAGATCAAGAAAAGGAGTTTCTGACCATAAAGCAGGCAGGATATGCAAAGAAAGTTCTTGCACAGTTTGGCATGGGGGATTGTAATCCAACTAAGTATCCTATGGAGCCTGGAATGAAATTGCATGCAGACAAACAGGGAGAAAGGACTGATGCAACCAATTACAGAAGAATCATAGGATGTCTGAGATACTTGTTGCATACAAGACCTGACTTGGCTTTCTCAGTTGGAGTAGCAAGTAGGTTCGTGGAAAAGCCAACTGTGACACATTTGAAGGCAGTGAAACAAATACTCAGGTACTTGAAAGGAACCATTGATCTTGGGTTGGTGTATACTCAGGAGGGCAAGCCAGAGGTGATCACTGGGTACTCTGACAGTGATTTGGCAGCAGATGTGGTTGGGAGAAGAAGTACTGGAGGAATGGCGTTCTACCTGAATGATAGCTTGATTACTTGGTGTTCTCACAAACAAAAGACAGTAGCACTCTCTTCTTGTGAGTCTGAGTTTATGGCTGCAACTGCAGCAGCAATGCAGGCCTTGTGGCTAAGAAGTCTCTTAGCTGAACTGACTGGAAGGAAGAAGGAAGCAGTGACACTGTACGTTGATAATAATTCTGCTATTGCCCTGATGAAGAACCTAGTCTTTAATGGGCATAGTAAGCACATAGACACCAAGTATCATTTTATCAGGGAGTGTGTGGAACGGGGTCAGATTGTGGTGCGCAGAGTGTGCACCAATGTGCAGAGGGCTGATGCTCTCACTAAGCCTTTGCCGGCTTGCTCGCTGGCAACGATGAGGCATCTGATGGGAGTTCGTGATCTCAGCTTCAACCTGGATTAGGGGGGAGATTGTTGGCGTAATCACAGGTTGGCGCCTTCGAGCAGCTGTGGCAGGATGGGCCAGAGTGGAGCGGGCAACTGACCGGTGGTGACCGCGCTCAGGAGATCGTGGATGTCGTCATGTGCAGTTAGTGCAGGGCGGTTGTATCTTTTCATTTTTGAATTAGCGTGTGTGTAATAGCTAGTTAAGCTAAGGGAACGCTTGTGTGTGTGTCTTCTGTCATTTTCGTTTTCCAAAAGAGCTGTAAACTGCTATCTGAGTAAAATAGCTCTGACCTCTGGAACACAACGGTTCTAGCGTGTTCCTCCTTTGTTCTTCGTGTTCTTAGGTAGCCACTGAGAAATCTGGTGCTTGTGATCGATTCCTACTTCTACAGGGCCAGGCGTGAGTGTCCCTAAGGTGGTCGCGGAGCATCGGCGGCGAGCCCACGAAGGCGCAGCCGAGCTCTGAGCAGCGGCACGGCGCGTAGGGGCACTCGCACTAGTGGTCGCCGGCCTCGTGGTAGGTGGCATACGTCCGGCAGCCGTAGACGTCGTAGGGGCAGAGGACCTTGACACAGCCGACGATGCCTTCCAGAGGGGTGTTGCGGGAGTAGGCGCCGTTCCGGTGGCACGAGTAGCACTTGTTCTTGGGGAGGAAGGAGTAGCAGGTGCCGTAGGCCAAGTGCCCGGCCTCGCACTGCGCAAGATCAACTCCGTGATTAGAATGCTGGAACAAGTGATGGATCTTGCCGGTACTAATGGTGATGGGTGAAGCATACCTAGAACTGGAAGATTGGAGGCTTGAAGGGCATGGTGTAGCGGGGGCAGTCAAGCTTGGCCTTTTTTGATCCTCACTTCAAGATCCACTCTGGGGCGGCGACTTGCACGGCCACCATTGCGCCGGCTCCGGCGGTTGCCTGCCCTTCCTCCACTTCTTGCTTCACTTCACGCATGGTTAACTCCACCCTCGGCTTCTTGGTGTTCTACTGCTGGACTCTCACCATTTGGTTGCAGTGCAGACTACAGAGGGCAACCACGTAGGCCCCGTTCGTTTGGCTCAATTTGACCGAAAAACACGGTTGTGGCTGAATTATTATGAGAGAAAAATACCGTTTTGACTGAAAAAAACAAACAAGCCAAAATTTAAGGTCCACCGAACGGCACCTATAAGGAAGTCACAGCAAAAACTCGCAACCACTTAACACTGTAAAGTAATCTGCTGCTCTCTAACTGTACGCGCGTCAGGGGAAGACGCTGAAAGGACTCTCCTGCTACTACGCTGTAGCCACGGCAGGGATAGGTATCGAAAGGCTCCCCTGTCGTATTGTAGCCACAGCAGAGGCAGGCGTCAAAGTAGCCCTGCTGTCACGTCTAGTCACTGTAGCAACATGATAGCCTGTTATGTCTATGTACTAGGATTAGATGTGTAGAGTTATATATATAGCTTCCCACTACAACTCAGTAAAGGCAGTTCAGTTTATCACATCCAGAAGTAGAGCTTTCACCAGCGCTGGGTTTGTGTTGTGTGTGTGCGCGAGCTGTTCTCAATATCTTCTTCTACCTCTAACCATAGTGAGTGAGTGTGCTGATAAGCTTATTGCTTACCTGTGCAGGACAACCGAGGGACTAACAAGTGGTATCAGAGCCGTACAAGCGTCGTCGCCAGACTAACCGCTGGCGATGACGGACAGTTCGGAGATGGACGATAGCAGCGGCGCTGCTGTGGCTGCCCAGCCACGACAGGAGGTCATCGTACGCACGGTGCGGGAGGTCAGCGACACCAGAGACGGTGACCATGAAGGTTAAGCTTAGAGCCCGATGGCTCTAAAATGCCATTGACAGGGGCACCAACAACGAAGAAGACGATATGTCAGTGTTGGAGACCATCCTCGCTGCTGTGCCGGTGGAGTACAGGGAGCCACTGGGGAAAAAAACTCTGCTAAGGAGGCATGGGAGGCCATTATAGCGATGCGCGTTGGCTCTGACTGCGCAAAGAAGGCGATGACCCAGCTGTTGAAGCAGGAGTACGACAACCTTAAGTTCAAGGATGGTGAGTCGGTGGAGGACTTCTCCCTCTGTCTGCAGTCGCTCATCAGCAAGCTGAGGAGCCACGGTGTCACCATCGATGAAGAAGAGGCAGTCTCTAAATACCTCCACTCTGTGTCGGTGAAGTACATCCAGATCGCTCTCTCCATAGAGACGACGCTGAACTTGTCCACCCTCACCATTGAGGATGTGACAAGCCGTTTGCGGGTGGTGGACAAGCACCTGGAGCATGCGACAGCAACGACGGATAGCGGCAAGCTGCTGCTAATGGAGGAGTGGGCTGCTCGGATGAAGATGAAGAAGTCCGGGGAAGCTTCCTCCAGGCGCGATGGCGATGGCAAGTGTCGTGGTAAGGCTTCTTTGGAGAAAAAGAAGAAGAAGGTCGACCCAATGCCTGTCGGCGCTGTGAGAAGACAGGCCATTGAGCAAAGGAGTGCCCAAATTGCAAGCAGAAGAAGAAGGCTGAGGCTCATCTAGCTTAGATAGATGATGAGGAGGAAGCCACTCTCCTAATGGTGACGTTCTGTGCTCTGCACGACGTTGAGGCCAAGGAAAAGAGAGAGATGATGGCGGTGGAAGGGCATAGGAAGGCTCTGAAGGCTGCAGAGGGGGTGTCGAGCACTTTAGCAGCAGAGCTGACCAGTCTAGAGGGGGTGCTGAGCACTCTAGGAGTGGAGCCGACCACTCTAGAGGAGGTGCCGACTACTCCAAAAGTAGAGCGGACCCCCCAGCAGCAGAGCCGACCACGGTTAAGGCTCTGAAGGCTGTCAACCTCAATGAACCACGAGCCCAAGGCCACCTCGGATGTGTGGATGGCAAGCAGGAGCAGCGGTGGTACCTAGACTCTGGCGCCAGCAACCACATGATGGGCTCTAAAGAAGCCTTCTCTGAGCTCGATGACAACGTGACCGACACGGTGAAGTTCGGTGATGGCTCAAGGGTGCCGATCCGAGGGTGCAACACCATCATCTTCAGGTGCCAGAACAGCGAGCACCACGCGCTGATAGATGTATATTACATCCCATAGCTACGTTCAAGCATCGTTAGCATTGGCCAGCTGGATGAGCGCGGCAACGAGGTACTGATCAAGGACGGTGTCCTCAGGATCAGGGAACGAGAGCAGTGGCATCTTGCCAAAGTGAAGAGGTCCCAGAACTGGCTATACCTACTCGACTTGAAGGTGGAGCAGCCCATTTGGTTGGTTGCACGACACATGGAGGAGCCGTGGATGTGGCATGCTCGGTATGGCCATCTTAGCTTCGACGCTCTTGGTTGGCTAGAGAAGATGGTGACTGGGCTACCTCATATCGAGCAGGCAGGCGAGCTATGTGACAACTGCCTGGTCGAGAAGTAAAGAAGGCTACCGTTCCCAAAGACGGCGAAGTACTGCGCGACAGAGGCCCTCGAGCTGGTCCATGGTGACCTCTGCGGGTCGATCATGCGGGCGACGCACTGTGGGCGTAAGTACTTCATCTTACTAGTGAATGACTGTAGCCGGTTCATGTGGCTGCAGCTTCAGACCAGCAAGACCGAGGCAGCAGAAGCGGTCAAGGAGTTCAAGGAACGCGCGGAGGCAGAAAGCGGCAAGAAGTTGTGCGTGTTGCGGACTGATCGCGGCGGCGGATTCACTTCGGTGGAGTTCGCTGCGTAGATCAGGGTGTGGTGCGACACCACACCGCGCCGTACTCACCACAGCAGAATGGCGTGGTGGAGCGACGGTGTAACACCTCTGGTGTTACGAGCTCGTTTAGCACCGAGATTTCGACCTAAGTAAATTTCTAAAACAATTGTCTCGGATTTGAAAAGTCAACTTATATTTAAAAGTGTCACTTTTGGCGAAGTATAATGAACAACGGGTTAATTGGTTCCTAGATGTTTTATTTCTATGAGTTAGTATGACGTATGGACTAGTGCGTAAAAATGCCTGATAGCAAATAAATAGCGAATGGCTTGTTTATTTGATTAAGCACGAAAAACAATTTTTATAAACAAAATTTGTTGAAAGTAAAATTTGCTAAATAATAAAACCTTAGAGTTTTACTTATGCTTGTTAATGTATAAAGTTGTTTAGAAAATGAATATTTGGAAGCTAAAATAATATAAAATATAAATAGGAAAAATCGTATCATCAGTAAGATATGAACATCGCGAATATATTGGTATGCTTGTTCGAGTGCCATTGTGATGTTGTTAGTTTTAAAATAATAACGAAAGTGTTGCTGGCCACTCAGCTCATCTACCTCGTTGGTACGACACGCGCGTTATGAGATAGGACCGAGCTTGCTGGCCTTGCCGGCTGCTTGCCTCCCTCCCTCTGCTGGTCTTGCCACGTTTGCCTGGCGGTCGTCTCATGCATTCACATGCCTCGTCTCAGCCGGTCGGCACCTATCCTGCTTTGTCCATGCGGCCGCGGTTTGTGGAGAAGAGCTTTTGTTATTACAGTGGAGCCCGCATCTTGGACAAGTCCATCGTGCAGGGTGCGTCTGAAAATGAGCACGTGGTTCTGCTCCATGCCCACACCGTGTCCTCTCACTTCCCTGTGCGCGCGCTAGCGCGCCGCTGCCAGCCACGCTACGCCATACCGCTCTGCCTTCGATGTCTCATCGCGCTATGCCCGGCCATGTCCTCTGTTTACCAATCGGGCCACGTGATCATGGTCGCTATCGGTCGGACTACTCTGCCTTCACCTGGCGAGTTCGCTCTCAGCTCCTTGCTACCCCTCGCGCGCCTGCCTTTTCTTTGCCTTCGTTCGCTCTTCTCTGCCATCTCTACCACTATTCTGCTCGCTCTTCCGAGCCGAGCCTCGCGCTTGCTCAGCACGGCCGTCGCCCGTTGTCTCTCCCCTTCCCCTCTCGTGAGCGCGCCCAGGCCTGCAGTGCCCCGCCGTTGCTGCGCCTTCGGCCGTCGCTCAGCCACCGTGCGCGAGCGCCGCCCCTCCCTTTCCCGCGCTAGACCGCCGCCCTCCCGTGCTGCAGCACCGCTCCTCCCTTCTGTGGCCACTTGCCTTGAGCCACGTGCAGCTATGGCGCCGGCGCGTCCCCTGCCACTGCGTCGCCAAGGAGGTCCGCCATCACCTGGAGGATGGCCACGCGCAGCTCCGTCTCGCCTTGAGCCTCCTCTGCGCCGTCGTCGTTGCGTCTCCCTCCCGCGCCGTTCCACCTCCGTGCCTCGATCGCCGACCCCGCCGTCGTCCGTGGCTGGGTCATCAAGCCCTGTCGTGACCCACGCCCTCGCCGCGCCGTTCCATCTCCGCGTCGAACCCCGCAGCACCCCACCGTGGTTGCGCCATCGCCGCCGATGCGGCTGCCTGCGTGCGTACGTGGCCAGCGTGCCTCAGGCCGCCTTGGTCGTGCCGCCAGCGCTCTCGGGTACGGCCGGGTCCGTTGCAGCTCCTGTGCCGTCTGGTTGCCGTTCCTCCAGTGAAAATCAGTCAGAGGCAGTCCGCCTCTGCTCCTCTGCTTCGCCCATGGCAGGAGAAGGGTGAGAATCGACGTAGAAGTTTTGTTCAGGGTTCTCAATGTAATTTCCGTGACTCGCTCAAATATTATTAATGTCCCAGGGGTGGATTAGGTAAAAGGGCAAGGGCCTCGGCGCAATTTAGGTCATCGCCGCTGGGCTTCCCCCACGTGGGTCAGCCTTTTGGGTCGCTCGCCCTGGCCTCCGTGGTCGTCGAATTAGGCCGACTTGGGCCATGCTTGCCCCGCTGGGCCGGTCGCGTGCCACCCGCGCCTGGGCCGCGCACGCCGTGCCCCGCCTGGGCCGCCTTGACCGTTGGACCAGGCCGAGCGGGGCACTGGGCCGATTTGGTGGCCGCTGGCCTTTAGTTTCTAAAGCAATTGCTAAATTAGTTCGGAAATAAACTTGTAAAATCAAAATAAGTTTGTGTAGTTGTCCAAAAATTATGAAACTAATTTTGTTAAGTTTCTAAAATCATGATCTATCTAATAGTATATTTTGT